CTGCTACATTTAAAGGATTTGCAGATATTCATCCTCCTCCTTCCCAAGTTCCCTCCTCACCCCCTTCCTCATACACCCTCTAAACATACCCCACCCTCTCTATCACTTCCACTTGAATACTCTCAAGAATCCCCTTTATCACCACAGTGTCCATCTCCAGACATTTTTCCTGATGCTTCACCACCTTCCCCAGTCTCCTTTTCTTAACCCCTGGATTCTTGTCCTCCTACTTCTCCAACAGCCACCTCTGTTTTCCTTGATCAATGTCCCTACTCCTTCCCCAGTCACAGATACACTACAATTCACTCAGTTGCTCTACCCCCTTATATTCCCCTAATCCCTTCACAAAATACCTGATTCTCTCAACCACCCAAACCACCCATACCACCCCCCCAAAAAAAAAAAAAAAAAAAAATCCTTACCTACTATCCTTTCCACTCCCCCCTGGATACACATGTGAATCTCTTTTATCACAATACCCTTCCCCAGAGCTGACACCCCTATGGAACCCCCAGGCACTACTCCTTCACCTACTCCTGATCCTTTATCTCAACCCTCAGACACCTAATCCCCTAAGACAACTGTATCTACCATTATCACCTATTATCCCTATTCCTTCTCCAGTCACAGTTACAATGCAATTAATTTGATTGCTGTACCTTCTTAACCTTTCCTACTTATTAATTACTACTCTACTTTATTTACTTCCCTCCTTTCCCTTTTCATTACCATACTCTCCTACAACCTCTAATCTTCGATATCAAACACTCTCCACTCTCCCCGGATTCTTCTTTTACTCTTCAACAGCTATCATCATTCTTCCTTGAACATTTTTCCTATACCTTCCCCAGTGACAGATACATTGTAATTCACTCAATTGCCTTACCCTCCCCTTTATACTAATTTCTGCTCTAATTCACTTGCTCCCCTGTTCCCCCTTTTCACTACCCTACTATCCTATAATGTTCTTAAACCTTTGATATCTAACACATTTTATCATAATCTTAACTCTCCTTTGCCCTTTCTGATGCTATACTTTACCATAGTGCTACATGACCTTTGATGTCTAACACATTTATTTTCAAACATTAATTACTTAATTAATTAGATCTTAACCAAATCATCTACCATATCATTTATATCATAAGTAAATGAATATCCATTGAAATGGAAAGTGCTTGGGTCAGAGTTATGAATACTTAATTTTGTTCTTAGAATCTTAGTTACAAGTTTATAACCTTTGTTTTGAATTTAGATGAGTATTCTGTTAGACTTGCAGGCTGATATCATATATTGAAAAAAGTAGAAATTTTATAGACATTATGGTTTTACTGTTTAATGGGTCCTATGATTTTAGACAGATTTCATATCACTTATGTTACAGTAACAAAATCCTACATTGGTCATTTAATGGGAATATAGCAATTTTATTATGGTGTATGAATAGTATATCAATCTTTTGATAAACCTTACATAGCAGATGACCATAAGTATGTTTGGGATCTCTGTATTCATTATGAAATAAAATATTTCTATTACAGCAAGCTGAAACTTTGAACTGCTTTAAGATAGTATTTTAGATGGAATATAAGATGTTAGCTACTTTTATTAATGCGTAACAGGAAAGATGCTTTCTCGCTTTTAAAACAAAAATACCTCAAATTTTGTGTTGCTAGAACAGGAGTTTTGAAACTAATGTTTTTTCGTAGAAAGTTCCAAACATTTGGAAGCAGGTGCTACTGTGAATTTTTTTTTATTTATTTTTGTGCATTCAGTTAGATGATGTTTGACTTGTTTCTTTTCAGTGCTTCATATCTAATGTTATATTATGAATTGCTGGAATCTTATTACGTGAGAACTAACATATTTTGCTTTAGTGATATTTATTTTATTTAGTAAACGAGAATAAACATGAGATAAACAACACTTTGAGAGGTCGAGGTTAACAGAGAAGCAGCTTGTTGTACAAAAATGTTAAGAGTTTTGCATGGCATAGTATGTGCAGTTGAATAGAAATTTGTTTAATCTAATAGGAAGTAGGTGCCTTTGCCTAAATAGAATTTGTAAGATGTAATATATTTTCAGATGAAATATTAGAATGCTCAAGTGTTTTTCATCATATTGTCCTGTTTTAAGCCATACAGCATCTGGAATTGTGAAATCTAGCATGATGTTTGGTAATTGATGCTTATATTTGTAATACAGTTGTTATGCTGTGTCAGGAGATTTAGCTTTTTGTATCCATCATCAGAAGAACTAATCTCATATGTACTTGTGTAGAATTATACAAAATCTGATTCATACGGAAAGACTAGTCAGAAATTCTAGCAGAAGTGAAGTCTTGTATTCTATATTATATATACACCTCTTTTGGGGGTAAGCTTAGAAATTTTCCTCTTTTTCAGTTATCAGTGTCTATCGAGTGTGCCTAACTCAGGTGTTTATACATCTTTATCCTTCAGATTTGTTTCCATTTGGTTGATATGGTATATTTTGTAGGTGAAGTTAATATGGCATAGGTGTACATCAAATCTTAATTTTCAGTTAAGGAATAATTAGATATCCTAAGAACATTTATATTGTTATAGACTGCACAAATAGATTTTGCTAATCATGCCACCATAATGCAGATGAAACAACGGAAAGAAAGACAAAGAAGAAACAGCATGGAACCCTTATTAGAAGAGGAAACAGTAAAAAAAGTAAATGTAAAGTATGACAAATTGGAAAAAGTAAGTAGATGAGTTCAAATGAAGGAGACTTTTTCCCCTTATAAGCACTGCCTTCTACCACTAGTTCTTTTTTGATTGGATTTTGATTTTTTATGATTATTGCTGGCAAAAAGCATGCTCTTTTTATTTAAATAGAAACTTACAAATTTGTAAAAACTCTGACAGGGTTTCCTTTCATCCTTTTAATGTCTGAAAATGTTTTAGCAAAACTGCCTGTTGATAGTAATGTTAAGCATAGAATATGCTATGTATATAGATTTTTTTAGATGCACATATGTTTGATCATATGCATGGCACATATCTGTACATACTATTTTACAATCATATTTTCATTTGCCAACATGACCATAATGTCAGCATGATGATTTGATTATTGATGTCCCAAGTTCTAGTCCAAGAAAATGGAACTTATTGCTAGCAAGTTTTCCTAAACTAAGAATAGTGCTACAGAAGGAAGATATGTGAAGATGAAAACAGAATAATCAGCACAGATGAGGACTGCAAGCCACTTTAATTTTTAGGCTAAATTCTAATTTTAGGATTTTCATATATTTATATTGGACATGAACAAAATCTTTTTAGAAGGTGATTCATTGTCATCATACTTGATAATAGGGCTAAGGATAATCAAACATGATAAAAAGCAGTATTCTTGTATAGTGAAACTGTAATGTATAGGCCCAAATAAGATTGAATGATGCTTATTCTGTTGGTTATTGTGTTCAGAAAATAAGATTGATCTAGTTTCTCTTTGTCAGTTTACCAGTTATCAGATATACATTGTGTGAATATCCATGTAGATAGCTTTGTAGGGTGTTTAGAAAACTTTACTAAGGTTGACTAAATCTTTTTTAGACAAAGCTGGAAAGCATAATGGAGAAGGTTGTACTTTCAATGCAAATATGTGAAATCCTTGGTGTTAGGAATACTACGTAATGTAAAGAATAAAAATCAAAGAAGATTGCACTGGGATATAATTTATCATAAGTTTGATATTTTTAGTGGTGTTGTATTCCTTCTCTATTAGATAGGTCAGTAACTGTGAATTGCTTTCAGTGAGCCAGAATGTAATCATGTACAGGATTTCAATAAAATGAGTTTGTTATGTAGCCTCAAATATCATAAGTAAAAAAAGGTCTTTTGTTAGTAGTTAGGTCTATTATTATTTGTATAAAAGTAGAAAGTTCACAATCAAAATAGGTAGATACAGAAACTTGAGAAACCGACCCACAATGATAGTTTCATTAACTAGCATTAACCTTCTTGAAGATTAATATTGGCTAGTGCAATAGGGGCATGTAAAACTTTACTTGAACTACACATACCATATCATTTATCTCATTCACTTGTTTAGAATGGTAATGAAGAAAGGTTCTTGAATATATGTGTAAAGTAATTACACACTCACATTCACATGTTTAAGAACACTCACTCTCATACTCACTCTCACTCTTTCTTTCTATATGTACCATGTGGTCAACTAAAGATTGTTCTCCCACCAATATGGGTAGAGGTCAGAAGCAAGCCCCAATGACCTATGCCCAAGCTAGGTCTGTGTGACAACATGCTAACTCTTGCTCCACATGTTAAGGATGTTACTATTTTCTTGTGCCTCATCTCTTTTCCTCAGTATTGGATTAAGGGCTGCACTACTCATTTTCCGGGCTTTATAGAATCTTTCTAACTATTCAAGAAAGACTCCTGTAAACTGGTGGTAGTGGTAGGATAATGTGTTGTTACAGGGAAGGTAGGATAGAGTAATAGGCCAGAATGACCTAGCTTGAGTTGGAATCATGACCTTCTGATATTTCAACCCTGACATTGGCCATGCTATTTTTAACTGCCCAAATGGTACTTCTTAATCATTCTCTCTCTCTCTCTTTCTTTCTCTTTCTCTTTCTCTTTCTCTTTCTCTCTCACTCACTCACTCACTAACTCACTCACTCACTCACTCACTCTGTCAATCTCTCTCTCTCTACTCTTTCTCTCTCTCTCCACTTTCTCTCTCTCTCTTTTTCTCTCTCTCTCTCTTTTTTTTTTTCTCTCTCTCTCTCTGTCTCTTTCTCTCTCTCTCCTCTCTCTCTCTCTTCTCTCTCTCTCTCTCCTTTCTCTCTCTCTCTCCTCTCTCCCTCCCTCTCTCTCTCTCTCTCCCTCTCCCTCTCCCTCTCCCTCTCTCTCTCCCTCTCCCTCTCCCTCTCCCTTTCTGTCTTTCTCTCTGTCTTTGCCCTCTCTCTCTCTCTCCTCTCTCCCTCCCTCTCTCTCTCTCCCTCCCTCCTTCTCTCTCTCTCTCCCTTTCTCTCTCCCTCCCTCACTCACTCTCTCTCTCTCACACACACACACAGAGTGTCTCTCTCTCTCTCTGTCTTTCTCTCTCTCTTTCTGTCTTTC